GACGCCAAGGAGCTTACGGGAACTCTAAGGACGTTATGCCAAGGAGCTATAAGGTGACGTCATCTACCAAGGAACTCTAAGGTGACGTTACCTGCCAAGGAGCTATAAGGTGACGTCATCTACCAAGGAACTCTAAGGTGACGTTACCTGCCAAGGAGCTATAAGGTGACGTCGGAACTCTAAGGTGACGTTACCTGCCAAGGAGCTATAAGGTGACGTCATCTACCAAGGAACTCTAAGGTGACGTTACCTGCCAAGGAGCTATAAGGTGACGTCATCTACCAAGGAACTCTAAGGTGACGTTACCTGCCAAGGAGCTATAAGGTGACGTCATCTACCAAGGAACTCTAAGGTGACGTTACCTGCCAAGGAGCTATAAGGTGACGTCATCTACCAAGGAACTCTAAGGTGACGTTACCTGCCAAGGAGCTATAAGGTGAATCCCCTGTCGTCGGAACTCTAAGGTGACGTTACCTGCCAAGGAGCTATAAGGTGACGCCCCCCTGCCTTCCTTCCTTCCTGCCAGCGACCGACGTACCTGGTGGAACGAGAAAAGTTCTTGTTAACTTCGAGCGGGATGGCGAGGGATCTGAGTTTACGGCCAAAAGAATATTGTATTATTCATTACACTTATAAAAAGACACAGGAAACTTGCATTCTAAAAGAAAGGTAAAAAAGTCATGGGCAAGACACTTCGAGTTGACGAGAATGAGAGATGAAGCTTCTAATTTATGCAAATGGGATGAAGTTATCTGCATAAATACGAGACATAAAGCATGTATTATTAATTCATGACATTCAAAATTAATTCAACGGCGTTCATTCAAAGACTTCAAGAACATCGGCTGTACGAATTATCTTTAACAAGGACCATGTCCAGAAATGGAATGTGGAGTGTAACGGCTTCCCCCCACCTCTCTCTCTCTCTCTCTCTCTCTCTCTCTCTTCTCTCTCTCTCTCTCTCTCTCTCTCTCTCTCTCTCTCTCTCTCTCTCTCTCTCTCTCTCTCTCTCTCTTTCAGATACACGCATTTTCTTTCTCTTTTTCTTAACATCACTTATTCTCACTTTAAGTAATGGAGAAAAAGATGGCGATGGTGAAAGTGATGGTGGTGATATTGATACTGATAATGATTATGATGGTGATAAGGATAAAGATGAAGATGATACTTATGACGAAGATGATGATGAATATAACAGAAATAATGGCATTCCTTTTCATCTAAATTTAATAGAAAACAAGTTGTGAAGGAACAGATATAAGTGCTCACGGCTGCATCCCCTGTGCATGGCTCGCCTTCCTGGACCACGATGCATTTGCTGCATGACTTATCCATTAAGATCCCCGTTTAGTGTTTTGAGCATTAGACAATGAAGTTACATGACTGCGTGCGTATAATAATCCCGCCCCGCATTTCTCTCCACGACAACCCGCCTTTAGCCCTGGATTTACTTGCTCATTAACGTGCGGTTGTCTGTCATGTAGTTTTATGGCGTCGGGTAAATTAGAATAATTGCAATATCCGGAGACAGACCGAAAATAGATGCAAGCGGGATTGGATGTTTTGCGAGTTGGATCTGTTCGGATGGAAAAGGACGCTGTGAGATGCGACGCGGTCCTCCGAGAAAAAGCGTGATACCGCGAGAAGAGACGCGGTCCTGCGAGAAACGGCGTGATACCGCGAGATGAAAACCAATACTGCGTAATAAGACCTGATTCCATAAGATGAGCGACGCTGAACTTTGAAATGAAACGCCACGCTCCGAGATAAACTGACCTGTGAGATTAGAATCCCGCAGCTCTGGCATTTAGGGGCTTTGCAATGGAGGGAAGGAGCGGGTGGGGGAGTGATGAAAGACCCCACCCCACTCCCCTGCCCCTCTTCCATACCGCAGGTGGTGGGTGCCCCGGCAAAGAGGATGGGCTAAAGGTACTGATCAATATTTGGGGGACTTTCCGGGAAGGTGGGGGGGGGGGGGTAATACGGGGCCAGCGCGCGACCCACTAAACCTCCCCGTGAGTTCGCCGGGTATCTGGTCTGACCTTGGCTTTGGCATCGAAGTCGAGGAAAAGCTGGCCAGGGCGGTGTAAAGAAAGAAGCGTGAAATAGTCTGTAAAGTGAAGCCAAATGTGACAGACTCGAGTAATACAGACATTTCTGCCAAAAATTAGATCATTCCTCATCACCCAAATTCAAATACAACCAGAAAATAAACTCAATCTAACTTTTTAAAAATTCGTTCACCCCACGGAATTCCAGCGTTCCCGAGAGCTCGCAACCCGACACATTCCTCCCCCTCCCTCTCCCTTCCCCCCTCCCCCCGCGGGCGCGATCCGACCCACGAGCAAAAGCGGGCGTGAGATCCTGACCAACAAATGTCCCGAAGAGAATCGTGCGAGTCACAGTCCATGACTTCATGACTCCGGGTAAGAGATGATAAAGAACGGCAATGGCCCATAGTAAGAGGCCGGATATGACCTTTCTACGAACATGACCTTTCAGAGACGTCGAGATGGAGGCAGATGACCTAGGAAGAGGGCGAGACAGAGGGGGGGGGCACCTCACACCTCCCCCACCCCCTTGCAAAGAGATCAAAAGGAACGTATGCAAATGCGTAACGTAACTGCTGAAAGTGATGGCATAAATCTGAAATTACATTTGACGGACTAAATTGCATCAGCCTTTTATGCTCTCCTCTCCCTTACGTATTGCAGAGAAATGACCGTTATCATCAGACAAAAGCATCATTATCATCACCGTCATTAACATTAGCAGGCTATTAACCGAAACTTATATAAAGCCCACGACTTACCCGGAAATATATGCTAATGCACGCGCGAGAGTAACAGCAACAAAAATAGATTAATAGAGAAAAAAAGGAAATCCCAACCCCATTACCGTTAACGCTCCCCTCCATGCACTTGCTCGTGACTTAATGCACGATCTAGTTCACATTGCAATCAACGGCGGGAGATATCAGGTCGGGGTTCAAAAGTGTTCCCTGGATCTGGCGCTGGGGAAAAAGGAGATTGATAGATGGTGTGTAAGAAGGAGAGAGAGAGGGGAGGGCGAGGAAGAGGGAGGGAAGGGGGAGAAACACATAGGACGGACGGGATATGCAGAGAAAGGAGGAGGATGAGAGAACAGAGAGTTAATACACGGAGGAGGAGGAGGAGGAGGAGGAAGAGAGAACGAAGACTTAATATACGATAAGGAGGAAGAGATGACGAAGAATAAATACACGAAGAAAGAGGAAGAGAGAACGGAGAGTAGATACACGAAAAAAAGGAAGAGAGAGAGAGAAACACAAACGAGAGAGAGGAGGAAAATATAGAACGGAGATCAGACACTGGAAGAGGGAAGTAGAGAGAGAGAACGAAGAATAGATACATGAAGAGGGGGCGAGATGAAACGCATATTAGATACACTGGAAAGTGGAAGAAGAGATAGGACGGAGAATAGATACATTGAAAGAAGGAAGGGAAAGAACGCAGAGTAGATCCTCTGGAAAAAAAAAAAAAAGAAAATGGACGGTAAATACACAGTATGAAGAAGTAGATGGAACTGGACACAGGTGAAAACTGACATATGAAAGGGAAAACACACACACACACACACACACACACACACACACACACACACACACACACACACACACACACACACACACACACACACACACACACACACACACACACACATATATATATATATATATATATATATATATATATATATATATATATATATATATAGAGAGAGAGAGAGAGAGAGAGAGAGAGTTCGCCTCAGCCACACACAACAGAAACGAAATCATATTAATACCATTTCCTATCTAGATACAGCGAACCCACCAATAACGTCAATTTGAAACGCCAATAAAACACAAAATATTACAGACAGATAGATTTGCCTTTTAGTACGGTTAAAAGGCGGATAAGGAATGAGAAAAAGGGTGGGCGGAGAATGGGTTGGAAGAGTGGGATGGTGGGCGTGAGGAGGAAGCTGGCTCAAGGATGATCAGGGGCGGCTAATGTGACCTTTGCGGGGATGGGGAGGAGGAAGGGAGGGAGGGAGGGAAACAGGGAGGGAGGAAGAAAGGGAAGGAGGGAAGAGGAGGAAGGGAGGGAGGAAGAAAGGGAAGGAGGGAAGGTGGGTAGGAGGAAGGGAGGAGGGGGGAGCAGGGAGGGTGGAAGAAAGGGAAGGAGGGAGGGTGGATAGGAGGGAGAGGGGGGGAGGGGGAGGAGGAGGGAAGGAGAGGGAGGAGGGGGGAAGGAGAGGAGGTGGAAAGGAGGGAGAAGAAGGTGGGGAGTGGGGAGAAGTGGGAGGAGGAAGAGAAGGGGAAAGGGAATGAGAGGTAAGGTGGGTAAAGGAAGGGAAGGGAAGTGGGAGGAAGGGAAGGAAGGTAAAGGAGGGGGGAAAGGAATGAGGTTGGGAACGTGGAGACTGGATGAATAAGGGAGAGGAGAGAGGGAAGGAAGGGTAAGAAGGATAGAGACAGTGGGAGAGTGTGGAGGTAGGAAGAATGGATGGAGAGAGAGCGAAGGAAGGAAGGAAATAGAGAGTGGAAGGGAAGAGGGAGAGAGGGAAGGGGAAGGGCGGAATAAAGGAGGGAAAGAGGAAAGATAGGATGGACGAAGGGGCGGGGAGAGAACAGAGAGCAGAGAAAGGATGCAGATAAACGACAAGAGTGACGGAGAACAGATAAAACATCAATTACCTTCCACAACAATATAAACAACGATGAAAAAAATCCTCCAAAAAATCACCCAAACAACCAACAAACAACCAAATCACAAACGCAAAAACATGAAAACAAACAGCAGCAACATGAGACGCGAGAGGACACAGTACCAACATGAGAGGGAGGGAAAGAGGGGGAGGCAGTGGAGAGTGGGGGAAGGAGGGGGGGCTGTGCTGAGTGGGGGGAGAGAGGAGGGAGTGTGCAGAGTGGGGGAGGGAAAAGGGGGGTGGGGGAAGTGACTGGGCGCAGGCGACGGCTATTGATCTGCCCGGGACTTGGACCACCACAACGGGCCTTCGGTGGGCACTGCTGGCTCGGCTGTGACCTGGAAAGGCTGTGGAAGGTCGAGGTGGAAGGCTGTGGAAGGTGTCGAGTGGAAGGCTGTGGAAGGTCGAGGTGGAAGGATGTGGAGGATCAAGGTGGAAGGTGGAAGGTCGATGTGGAAGGCGTGGAAGGTCGAGGTGGAAGGCTGTGGAAGGTCGAGGTGGAAGGCTGTGGAAGGTCGAGTGGAAGGTGTGGAGGGTCGAGGTGGAAGGCGTGGAAGGTCGATGTGGAAGGAAGGTCGAGGTGGAAGGCTTGGAAGGTCGAGGTTGGAAGGTCGATGTGGAAGGCATGGAAGGTGTGGAAGGCTGTGGAAGGTCGAGTGGAAGGTGGAAGGTCGAGGTGTGGGTCGAAAGGCGTGGAAGGTCGATGTGGAAGGCTGTGGAAGGTCGATGTGGAAGGCTGTGGAGGGTGTGTGGAAGGCATGGAAGGTCGAGGTGGAAAGGCTTGGAAGGTCGAGGTGGAAGGCGGAAGGTCGATGTGGAAGGCGTGGAAGGTCGAGGTGGAAGGCTGGAAGGTGGAAGGTCGATGTGGAAGGCTGTGGAAGGTGAAAGGTCGATGTGGAAGGCTGTGGAAGGTCGAGGTGGAAGGTGTGAAAGGTCGAAGGCGTGAAGGTCGAGGTGGAAGGAGGTGGAAGGCGTGGAAGGTCGAAGGTGGAAGGCGTGGAAGGTCGAGGTGGAAAGGCGTGGAAGGTCGATGTGTGAAGGTCGAGGTGGAAGGCGTGGAAGGTCGAGTGGAAGGCGTGGAAGGTCGAGGTGGAAGGCGAGGAAGGTCGAGGTGGAAGGCGTGGAAGGTCGAGAAAGGTCGAGGTGGGCGTGGAAGGTCGAGGTGGAAGGTCGAGGTGGAAGGCGTGGAAGGTCGAGGTGGAGGCTGAAGGTCGAGGTGGAAGGCTGGAAGGTCGAGTGTGGAAAGGCGTCGAGGTGGAAGGCGTCGAGGTGGAAGGCTGTGGAAGGTCGAGGTGGAAGGCGGAAGGTCGAGGTGGAAGGCCGAGGT